TTCTATTCCACCGACAACGGGTACAGCTTTATCCCTTATGAAGGGAATCCCGTAATGCCAAACCCAACCCCAACTACAAAACCTGCGTTTCGAGATCCCAAGATCTTCTGGGATGCCAAAGAAGGGCATTGGGTTATGTCTCTCGCAGAGGGTGACAAGATTGGTTTCTACACATCTGCAGATCTGAAGACCTGGGCGTATGTATCCGAATTTAGGCCTGAGAATGCTGGCGTAGACCTTGGCACCCTCGAATGCCCAGATCTGTATCAGATGGATTTAGACGGAGACAGCACAAAGCGCACCTGGATTCTCGCGTTAGGCGCTAACGGCTATCGCTACAACAGGACGACGGGTACTGCATATTGGATCGGGAATTGGGATGGGAACGGCTTCACGGCTACAGAAAGCTTTCCGCAGTGGATGGATGACGGGCCTGATTTCTACGCCACGGTCAGCTGGGAGAACCCTAACGACAGATACGGCAGCCGCTATGCCATTGCCTGGATGAATAACTGGGATTATGCAGCTTCACTGCCATATTACGCGGATTTCGCAGGTCAGGACAGTCTAGTCCGGGAGGTCAAACTCAAGACCATCAACGGTTCTCCCACGTTGGTCAGCATCCCAATAGGAGGGTATGAGGATATTCTTGCATCCACTCAGTCCGTGAGCGACAAGACCATTACAACAGATCCTGCGTCTGCATCCCTCCCCAGCGACATGGAGCAAGGGGCATACATGATCCGCGCCACGGTCTCCAAGAATGCCGGCGACAAGGGCAACGAGGTCCGCTTTATCATCAAATCAGACGGGGCTTTTAGCACGACTGTCGGCTATGACTTTGTGCATTCCCAGGCTTTTCTGGTCAGAGACTCAGACGGTGCTGCGACGGATTCCATGGCCGCGGGTCCGAAGCAGGCGTACGATACTGTGCGCACAGCACCGGATCCGTCAGGAGGGAGTACGGTCAAGCTGACCATATATGTGGATTGGAATTCGGTGGAGATATTCGTCAACGATGGTGTAGCAGTGTTGTCGGGGCTGATTTATCCGAATCAAGGGGCCAGTGGCGTTCAGGTCGTGTCAGATACAGGAAGTTTGACGTTGGTTTCGTTTAGCTATGCGGCTTGTGGGAGCATTTACTAGGTGTTCGTGCATTAACTCCGGATGCGCTGTTGAAATCGGCAGAGTCAAGACTGGTGGTATCAGCACGAAGCAGGACATGATCTAGCAATGACCTGGATAGGGGACTGGCCCAGTCCCAATTGGCCAGGTCCAATAAAGTCTGTGCTTGAGATTTTCGCTAGCAATGGGATGGTGTTTTCGGCTCCTAACTTTCCAGGCCTGGCCTAGTCGCGAGTAGTGGTCACTTGGCCCCAGCTGGTGCCGATTGATTCGTCCTCTGCGGTGTGATGTGGTGTGACGAATGCTTGCTGCTCTTCTCATCGGCTAGTTTAGTCTTCACAGCGTTGGCCGTTGCCGTTGACCCGAGGACCTGCGTAGCGTGCCACCCGAAAACCAAGCACTGTACGAAGAACAAACTAAGAGTACGTGCCCCCCTACTACATCGCCGTAGTGTTGCATTAAGCATCCCCGCGACCCCAGCCCAGGCTAGCCGTAGCGTGGGGATGAGCAAAATAGCGTCCAGCAAGCCTGCTTAGGCCTGCACCCACTGGAGCTAGCGGTTCAGCAAAGGCGGGGTAAGGCAATGGCTTGGGTCCTGTTGATCTCTATTAATATGCACGGTCTCGTCTCCACCCTGAGACTCTCTCGTTCCTTATCGTTCGGTTACTCCGTGCACACAGAACCACTCTCTTGTTCATCCATGTCTTAGCCTGCCGTGTCGCAATGTCAGTTCCTGCGGCATGGCCCTCGAGCCCGGCGAAGCTCACCCTGGAAGCTTGGTCGCAAGGCTGTATGATTGGCGCTTTAATCATCATGATCGGTATTACGTTAGCTAATATGCGACGCGGCGTCATGTTACATAAACTTATCTTGATCGAGGTGAGCATCTCTATCGGCATCGCATTCAATAGACAATTATCTCACAATTTCTCCAAGCTCCTTCTGGCGATGCCAAATGGATTCTTTACCTTTTTCGACCCTCCGACCTGGGGATGGTATCTTTCCTCGACTGTCATTTTCCTCATCATCTCGTGGAATCTGCACAACGTCATCGCCTGGATGAAGAACAAGCCCTTTCTCTCAAAGCGAAATAATGCTATATACATCGGCAGTATCATACTAGTCCAACCCTACTGGGTCCTTGAGATCTATGCCAACTTCACCTACTTCAACACTCCTAATACTCATCTTTTCTCCTCAACCCGACCGCTTGAGGCCGTCTGCCGGTCAGCATCACTACTTAGAAATTCTGAGTACTTTGACTGACGCATCTTAGCGATCCGTGGTGGATCTTTACTGCCATCAACCTATTCTGGAACATAAAATACCGTTACGAGTTCAAGCCTCTGGAACTTATCCGCATATCCCCTCGTTTCGGTCTTTTACTCCTGAGCATGTCTCTCAGTATTATCTTTATTATTGTCGATCTTCTTTCCGTCACGCCTGTCATCCCGATCGGCTATATAAATCCGTTCTGGAAATTTGCATTTATCTTCAAATGTTTCACCGATACGATCGTTCTAGACGACTTCAAAACCGCACTAGACAAACTAAGTCGGTACAAAATGGATCAAAACTATCCGCTCCCGTTCAGCAGGCCTAGCAGTCAGATACAACACCAGATACCGAGGCCAGGCGGGGATATCTTTCATGATAGATGTTGTCGTGAAAGTGTAAGCGTGACAGTTGAGCATTTGGAGGGGGCTGGCGATTCTATAATCAGTGCTCCGGCACGCGTAAAGGGGTTTCCTAATGCTGGGCTTCTAGGCAGAGCGCCTTCATAAAGCCCCAGGATCACCTACGGGAGCAGCATCACGCTCAACTTCGCTAGAAGGTTCCATACAAATGCCATTGCTTTTATCCTCTGACCCAAATCAATGTGGTGACAAAAGCAAAGGTGCCGGAGATACTGAGTAATGTTTAGTCTCGGCCATTGAACTATGCTGTGTGATCAATGAGTAAGATCATTGGAGGGGGATTATGCACCAGATTCCTTATACCAGGGCATCAACATGCAAACCCCTCCATTTACAACCTCGGAGTACTACCGCTTTGGCTCCAAAGCCGGAACCGAACGTGCTTATGGGTCAGGAGGACATTGGCCAAAACCAACTTCCTGAAGCATTAGAGCTGTGGAGAGGGCATGCCAACAACAGTAACTAGGGTCTGATAAGCTAAAGCTAGGGTGGTTCTGGAAACGCAGCGTAGGACGTTCCATGCATGCACAGTCGGGGATATGGCGGACGGTATGTATCATTCGGTATCACCGGATGATTCGGAGTGGGTAAGATGCAGGGAAGATGATGCTTACCAGACCAAAATCCCCTCATAACCTAGTCGTTTGCAACTTGTCATAATTCTAGCAGAGCTTTGACAATTCCCGCAGGCGAGATGAAGCACGGATCAAGCGCTTGCTCAAGCTTGGAGATTCATCACTCAGGTAGCGCCCGTCGAGCATCGACCATGCGCTTAGTGCATTGGCGGGGTGTTTATGTTATCGAATCCGATAGGCCAGGTCAAATGGGAAATGACGATCACCACGCCAGGATGTCAGATCATAGTGGAAATAGAATATGTATAGAAGGACAGAAGAGTATTGGCTAAGAAAGTACGGTTCGGCTTGCGGGCTGCGTGGGACTTACGGGTTACCATATGTGTGCTAGCCGACTTTAGGGCCTCATGGTGCTGCACACGCTACAGTTTGGTGGTGCTCTCGCAATGCACAGCGCTTCTAATGGAAACAACGCTAGTAAGCGACCTGTCTGCTAATGGGCTTCTGGAAAGTAAATGGAAGTTGGGATGACAGAGACGTCCACTTGCCAGTGTTACATCGTGTCTTCACGTCGGCGCGACAAATAGAAATCCTAGGCGGTCATTGGCAGGAATTAGGCGAGGTTGAAGTTGTGTCGATCAAGCTTGTTTTTGAATGGCGTATTAAACCCCATCAGGAATGACCTAATTATGCGGGGAGGTTGCAAGGAAGTAGATTCATGTCGCTAAGGGAGCACACTGCAGGTAGATACCCTACTTCTACCAGTCTTCCCTCGTCACTTAGACTCATCATCTACTCCGCATAGGGAAGGTATAATAGCGCTTATCTGAACCCAAAATGGCCCTAATTTTGTCGATCTTATGGCCAAGCTAAGAACTCCGCACGATAGCTCAGCTCTAACAGCCAACAGCCCAACCTCGCACCCAACATGATGCCATCCCCAGTTCCAAGTCCGATTGTAACTGCATTGTTGCGGGCAGAGATGCAGAAGACGGAGATTCGATAGTTCAAGTTAGCTCCGGCTTGCCCGACACATTCTAGAAACATTCTAGGGTCAAGATCGCCCGGCTTCGCTGTTCCAGCTGCGTATTCATGTCCGAGTCACGCATAATCCTGGCTCATTTGTAGAATCTTTGAAGCAACGGATGAACTACCTTGGTGATGCTAGACATGATTAGCTCTATTCGGAGTCTTTGTGCTTCGATATCTCCGGGGTTGGGGATAATGGATAATGCTTCTCAAAGCTTATCAACACCAACCGGAGTGAAGCTCAATCACGGTGGATCTCAATGGATGGCTTGGCAGGCATGTGAGAATAACGTCGCCGACTCATCTTAGTCTTTCCTAAAGCTAGATGCGATCAAGAACATTGGCCAGGTCATGGATACTGGCCCCAGCTTCTTCATGGCTGCAATCACCAGAGCTCGGCCAAAGATCAAGATGAATCTCAAAACTGTGAAGAATCTATAAGAGGGAGGTTGTTTCCACGACCCAGATCATCTTTCCAACAGCAACCACTCTTCTCACAGTAGCAATACCTTCCCTTCTTCACTATTCTATCATCCATCTCAGCAACGGCTCGGTACCCTTCATCATTTCAAAGATGGGACTTCTCAGCAAAGTGTCTCTTTCGAGGCCCCAGGATGAACCTGGCAAGGCGTGGCCAGCCATCGCCGTGGGCTTCTTCGTTGCCTTTGGTGGTGTTCTCTTTGGGTTTGCCATCTCTTCCCTCTCTCGACAAGCTCAATGTAACTGACCTGTTCTGTAGCTATGATACTGGCACTATCAGCGGTATCTTGGCTATGCCTTACTGGCAGCGTGAATTCAGCACAGGTTATATTGATGCTGACGGAAACCCCAACGTCACTTCGTCTCAGGAATCAGCTATCGTGTCTATTCTCTCTGCGGGCACCTTTTTCGGTGCCCTTGCCTCGCCTCTCTTGTCTGATTGGCTTGGTCGTCGCCCTGGTCTGATGATCTCGACTTGGGTCTTCAACCTTGGAGTTGTCTTGCATACTATCGCGACCGATATTCCGTTGTTTCTGGCAGGCCGCTTCTTTGCTGGCTTCGGTGTTGGTCTTATCTCTGCTACGAGTATGAACTATGTTTACCCCAGTGTTGCAGCGGCTAACTCTGCTCAAGTTCCTCTCTATCAGTCTGAAACAGCTCCCAAATGGATCCGTGGTGCTATCGTTGGCTCCTACCAGTGGGCCATTACCATTGGCCTGCTTCTTGCCGCTGTTGTGAACAACGCGACTTCGAAACGGGATGATTCAGGCTCCTATCGAATTCCTATTGCGCTACAACTTGCTTGGTCTCTTATCCTCTTTACTGGACTGTTGTTTCTTCCAGAGACTCCGCGCTTCCTTGTAAAGAAAAGCCAGTTGGACAAGGCGGCGAACTCTCTTAGCCGTCTTCGAAGATTACCTGCCGATTCCCCGGAAGTTGCAAACGAACTCAACGAGGTTGTAGCAAACCATGAATTTGAGATGAGTCTTGGGCAGTCCTCTTATCTCCAATGCTTTAAGCCTCCCATGCTCAAGAGGCAGCTTACGGGTATGGGCGTTCAGGCGCTACAGCAGCTTACAGGTGAGCATAGCCCCAGCCTCAAGCAACTCCTGAAGTTTTTGAACAATTCTGACTGTTTATCTAGGTATCAACTTCATCGTAAGCTCAGTTAAAGTTACCTTCAAGAACCTTCGAGCCAGCTGACAATCATCTAGTTTTATTACGGCACCAAATACTTCCAGAATTCGGGTGTGTCTAGTGGCTTTGTCATCTCAATGATCACTTCAGCTATCAATGTTGCATCTACAGTGCCCGGCATGTATGCAATTGATAAATGGGGACGCCGACCTATGCTGTTATACGGCGCCATTGGCATGTCTATCTCTCAACTGATTGTTGCTGTCTGTGGCACTCTGTCTACCGGTCAGCATGATAACGGCGAGATTTTTATTAAGAATCTTGGCGGGCAACAAGCGGCTGTGGCCTTTGTTTGCATTTATATCTCCATCTTTGCAGCTACTTGGGGCCCCCTCGTTTGGGTGGTGACAGGAGAGATCTTTCCCCTGAAGACACGAGCTAAATCCCTTAGCATCACGACAGCGACAAATTGGCTACTTAACTGGGCTCTGGCTTATTCCACGCCATATATGGTCAACTATGGCGAGGGAAACGCAAACCTGCAGTCTAAGATCTTCTTTGTGTGGTTTGGTTGCTGCTTCCTATGCATTGCGTTCGTTTGGTTCTTTATTTACGAAACGAAAGGACTTACTTTGGAGCAAGTCGATCAGCTTTATGAGGAAGTAAGCGTCGCCCGCAAGTCGGTCCACTGGGTTCCGTCTACGTCCTGGGAAAGTCGACAGGGCCACAGCATGAAGAAAGAGGAGGATGCAGAGGTAGAGGAAGTTGGCAATTGAGGGCAACTTGGTGGAAGGTGTCCATAGTCTTGGAATCTGGGAACTGGTGAGCTCGAGGTGGCCCTTCATGGGAACAGTGGTTTTGTCCCAGATTCAGAAGATGTTCGGGAGGAGGACAACAGCAGTCAAGTCTTTTCTCATGTATTCTCCATTGGGAATTGCAGGCTGGCAGGTTTGATGATGGAATGTTGGAGGTACTTATGGTTGTTCGAATGTCTCTGCTTCTCTTCTTCGCTTGTCGGGCTTATTCATTTTTCTAGATAGCTTTCTTCTCTAGCTTAGAGAATACTCACTTCGTATCGCGTTGCGCAAATTGGAAATACTTGCGTGACAATGTATAACTACCTCCCGACGATCCAGTGGCAGTCTGTGCGCATAATCACATAACCAAATACTCAGTAATTAATCGAGATATCTTAGCGCCATTTGACACAATCAAGGTATGTTGTCAATTACTCAAGCCAAAGTACTTGTTAGAGAAACCTGCAAAGAAATCGGAGCTGGCGCGCAGGTAAGGTAGAGAGCTCTTCCTTGAGCTCTGAGCAAAGGCTTGAACAGTGTTAGATAGAACATTCTTGAGAAATTACCATATGATCCTAACAAAATCCTCATTCACCTAGACTTGAAACCCCTGAGCTTCAAAGGCCAGCCTTAAGTGACCAACCATCCACTATGCCAAAGCTACTAATCGGGCCTCCTTTTATTTTGGCCGAGTAGGATTAATTTGTGTATAGACTAATGGGTGCGTTCCCCTGTAGCAGACATGTTTGTGGGTGTAGGCAAAAGTTTAAGACTAACCTGATGTGCACGTCCCCCATGGGGTTGTGGTGGGATCATTTCGCGAATGTACGTCTGTGCATTCTAGCAGGAGCATCATGCAGGGCGATGGTCAGGAAGACGACCTGTTAAGATTTGAAGCTAGGCACTAGAGCACACAGTGCTTGTTTCATATCATACTAACACTACTACGGGCCGATTCGTGATCGTAGGAAGACTTCCGTGCACTAAACCCTGCCTCGCTTGCTCATCTGAGCTTTTGAGCCTGTGGCTGGCAGAGGGATGAGTCTCAGGAACTGCATTAAGGATTTTTGTGTCACTTCCTTCTGTTGAAAAAAAGCACTACGAATCAGGCCACGTGTTGGAGGAGTGCTGGAAGGCTTAGAATTTTGACTGGGTGAAAAGCTACCGTCCAAGACAGTGCCGCTCTGTATTGCAGCTGTCTTCGAGTTGTTATTATCGCACAATCCCATCTTCTTCATGTATCACCAGGCCCTACGTTAAGTAACCAATCATATGCTCCAATATACACGTTAGATCCAGATATTATTTGTTAATAGTTTTACTTTTATTCTCTATGAATTGTGTCCCATTCCATGATCCACGCAGCCATCTAGTTCTGTCCAAGCTCCTTGGCACGGTCGGCAGCTGCCTTGACAGCTTTGTCCACGATCTCCTTGAGGCCAGAGTTCTCAAAGCTAACAAGAGCAGCATGGGTAGTGCCGTTAGGGCTGGTGACGTTCTTTCGCAGCTGAGCGGGCTCATCAGAGGACTCAACGAGCATCTTTCCGGCACCGAGGCAGGTCTGTGTAGCAAGACGGGTAGCCTGCTCCTCAGAAAGACCAAGGCCGACACCGCTGGAGATGAGATGCTCGACGAAAGCGAAGAAGTAAGCAGGGCCAGAGCCTAGACATGTTAGCGATGGTGATACTGTAGGATATAATATTGAACATACCGGAGATGCCTGTGACGACGTCAAGGAGCTCCTCCTTATCAACCCACTCTGTAGCCTTGCTCACGCTCCCCAAAAGCGCAGACGTCAACTCCCTCTCCTCCTTGGTAACATCATCCGCCGCATAAAGGCCACTCGCACCCTCGCCCACAAGCGCAGGCGTGTTCGGCATAACGCGCACAATATGTGGCGCCTTTCCTGAGTCTCCCTTGAGCCACTGCGCAAAGCTGCCCAGCGTAATACCCGCCGCGATAGAAATAACAACAGGGAGACTATCCCTCTTGGCCCAAGCAGAGCTAAGCTCCTCGCAAACACCCTTGGCAACTTGAGGCTTCACAGCGAGGATGACGACGTCAGCGTCAGCGGCGGCTTCTTTGTTGTCGGCGGTGGTCTTGACACCTAGGTCGGCCATCTTGTTGCGGTTCACGTCCCAGGGCTCGGAGACGTAGATGTTGGATTTGGCGATGTTTTTGGCGAGGAGGCCACCGATGATGGCGGCAGCCATGTTGCCGCCGCCCAGGAAGGTGATTTTGGCGTCTTGTAGTGAGGGAGTCATTTTGATTGTGTTTGAGAGAGTGAGTGAAGGAAAGGGAGATGAGATTGGTGGTGGTTTATTTATCGTGGGGTTGAAGTTTGGTGATACGTAAAAGTTTGGGGCGATGGCCGACCCCGCATCGGATTAACCCTGCGCTACCCTTTTAGCTTTGGCGATGGAGCGATAACGGCCTGCAATGACTGGCGTGGAGAGGCAATTCGTGACAAATTTGGCAGCTTTTCATCGGCATGAAAGAGCAAAGCCGATGTTTTTATTAACAAGTCATTTGCTTATAGCATGGTCATGATCATGTCTTTTTCTTTTGTGTTTTCAGCGCTGCGACTTACGCCTCAACCGACAGATTATCTTAATTATTACTATGATTATATCATACTGCACTCGTCACATTTGATGAGATTTTTTTTCAATGCTGTCCATCCCACTCGATTAATTATTAGATAACTAGAGCGAATGCTGGAACTAATTGGCAAGCTACTTGAGTAAATCTTTGTAACCCCACGTCCTGTCGCTTAGAGGCGGCATTGCCATGGTCGAGTCGATAAGATAAGGATAAAATGATGAGAATGTCTCAGCGCAGTCGGAACCTGCTGTCGTGACTCAAAAAGGCCACAGATCGGGAAATGCATTAAGTCGATATATTTCTGTGCGGGTTTACTTCAATTGAGAATGAGATCCTGCTAATAAATTGGTTGTAGATGGCCGACGACTTGAAATGTTAGTTGCAAAGAATGCCATTTAAATTATGATGTACAAACGAATTAAATCCAAGGCCCATGTCATATTTCACATAGGCCAATTTTAATAATGAAGAGAGCTTTGTATTTCTACGTCTTCTGAAGATTTAATCGGAAGCTTTGCTTCTCTTCAGACACTGAGATATTACATTGATCAACATCTACTGCTTTGTCACAGGGTAGGTTGTCGAGCCTTATCTATGTCGATAGTGACGTCACTGATAACAATTTTATAAAAGCAACAATTTACTATTCTCATTTATTTCATAACTCCAGTAGATACTTGACAGAAAACACTCAATCATTCTGTTTTACATTGATACACTGCTCAGGGCCATATAATATCACAATACCTTACACATCTCTCTTGTCAGGAAATTTGCGGAACATATCAGCAAGCCTATCGATAGGCGCCGCCAAGAGGCCCATGACAGTCTCAAAAGGCGGACTCTCCCCAGCACTAGGATGACTCCTCGTCGGCACAAAATGCTTCGTGCGTTCAAATGACGAAGCCAGACTATCTGCATCTTCGGCGTGCGCTGCAAGTGCTTTCTCAAGAGCAGGTAGATCACGGTTCTCTTCGTCTTCAATGTGTTTATCCAGCAAGTCCCAGATATGTTTGATCTCTGGAACGTATCCGGGATCTGTAGATTTGAGATTCTGGAAGACCTTGAGTCTCTCCTTGACCTGTGTAGTTGGTCAGTACATGGTGCCGTTTTTGGTTGGGGGTTGCTTTACCTGATGGTGCTCTTCACGATCTTCATCTGCAAGTCGTCTTCCTTTATCGCCCATGTACTTCTCCATGGCTGGGTAGATGACTAGTTCCTCACTAATGGAATGACGCGCGAGCTCCCAGACGAATTGATTGCCGAAGCGCTGCTGATGATCATGGTCGGTGGAGTTGACTACTTCGGTGTAGTATTTCTTCAGCTCACGATGATCTTTGACGATGGCGTTTGAGACGGCGGACATAGTTGCGATCTGCACGCGGATAGGGCCTTGGATTGAGCGGAAGTGCTGAGGTCTGAAGACTGTGCGGAGTTGAGGGCTCGTGATGGAACGGATCGAAGACATGATGATTGGGTATTAAGTCTGAGAGTTTGAGTAGAAATTTTGCTTTGATTGATAGATATTCGCAATATTCTTTTGCGAAAATGCTCTCTTCCTACTTGAATACATATAACCGCGATATAATAGCCATGACGGCGGAATGACCAGCTTCACTGTCAGTCATTACTCCCTCCGTGACGGTCTTCCAGCGACAAATGACGGATTGTTCAACACTAGAAATGATGCCGCTGACGATGCTCCTACGAACGACCAATCAAACTACGGGGTATCATAACTGCCTGCCTACGATTCGTCTTGTCTTACTTGCAGAGAGATGCTGCAGCTCACCGGGCCTTTAGCTCCGGGGCCGGACGGCACCGTTGTCTTTGATAGGTTCTGGGGGGTGATCGATTCCCGATCAATATTTCCCGATTGTGACGGAGAAATTACCCCGAGATTTCATCTGGTATGCGGCTGGAATGAAAGTTACTCGGAAAAAGAGTTACCAACGGTTTGGATGTCAGATTGGACATTGCGCGGCAATCGAGCTGAGCATGGCAACATTGACCATATCTAGAGTACAAATACGATTGATAGCAAATCATTGATCCCAAGGAATTCCAAAAACGATGAAGCCTGAAGCTGGAAACAATTACCGATATCAATTCCCAGCGTAAAAATCGCCCAAGCATTACGCCATAGTCAAGTCACAGCTACGCCAATGACTTTGAACGGATCGACCCGTCATAGCTGGTATCCACTCCCCGCCGGTGATACAACGTCAAGCCAATTTTATTTCCATAGTCATAATGTCATTGACTCAATCTTTTGGAATCATTGACTTCGTCCCCCTAGCAATTCCCTGTACAGCGAGTGCTCGACGGCATGATTACGAACTATATGACGGAGTGATTGATAATTTCTCTACGCA